AGTAAGTAAGTTATGATCTGAAGCTTTATGTCCCATCGGGACAAAGAGCAGTAAGTAAGTTATGATCTGAAGCTTTATGTCCCATCGGGGACGAAGAGCAGTAAGTAAGTTATGATCTGAAGCTTTATGTCCCATCGGGGACAAAGAGCAGTAAGTAAGTTATTTATGATCTGAAGCTTTATGTCCCATCGGGGACGAAGAGCAGTAAGTAAGTTATGATCTGAAGCTTTATGTCCCATCGGGGACGAAGAGCAGTAAGTAAGTTATTTATGATCTGAAGCTTTATGTCCCATCGGGGATGAAGAGCAGTAAGTAAGTTATGATCTGAAGCTTTATGTCCCATCGGGGACGAAGAGCAGTAAGTAAGTTATGATCTGAAGCTTTATGTCCCATCGGGGATGAAGAGCAGTAAGTAAGTTATGATCTGAAGCTTTATGTCCCATCGGGGACGAAGAGCAGTAAGTAAGTTATGATCTGAAGCTTTATGTCCCATCGGGGACGAAGAGCAGTAAGTAAGTTATTTATGATCTGAAGTCGCTTTTCTTAGCTTTTTATTTTTGTTCGTTTTGTTTTCAATCGTGTCGTTTGGAAAGAAACAGAGAGAGAAAGTGTGTGTGTGTGTGTGTGTGTGTGTGTGTGTGTGTGTGTGTGTGTGTGTGTGACTTTGTGCGAGAGAATAAAAATATCACATTCCAACCTTCATAATAAAGATCATCATCATCCATCAGACACATTATCTACTGACCATCATGAATATTTATACAGTATAATAGTAACGGTCTCTGACACCAGGGGGCGTCTGACAGGATACCTACAGTGTTAGCTTAGCATCTGACAGGATACCTACAGTGTTAGCTTAGCCTCTGACAGGATACCTACAGTGTTAGCTTAGCGTCTGACAGGATACCTACAGTGTTAGCTTAGCGTCTGACAGGATACCTACAGTGTTAGCTTAGCGTCTGACAGGATACCTACAGTGTTAGCTTAGCATCTGACAGGATACCTACAGTGTTAGCTTAGCGTCTGACAGGATACCTACAGTGTTAGCTTAGCCTCTGACAGGATACCTACAGCGTTAGCTTAGCATCTGACAGGATACCTACAGCGTTAGCTTAGCGTCTGACAGGATACCTACAGTGTTAGCTTAGCCTCTGACAGGATACCTACAGTGTTAGCTTAGCGTCTGACAGGATACCTACAGTGTTAGCTTAGCCTCTGACAGGATACCTACAGTGTTAGCTTAGCGTCTGACAGGATACCTACAGTGTTAGCTTAGCATCTGACAGGATACCTACAGTGTTAGCTTAGCATCTGACAGGATACCTACAGTGTTAGCTTAGCGTCTGACAGGATACCTACAGTGTTAGCTTAGCCTCTGACAGGATACCTACAGTGTTAGCTTAGCCTCTGACAGGATACCTACAGTGTTAGCTTAGCCTCTGACAGGATACCTACAGTGTTAGCTTAGCGTCTGACAGGATACCTACAGTGTTAGCTTAGCCTCTGACAGGATACCTACAGTGTTAGCTTAGCCTCTGACAGGATACCTACAGTGTTAGCTTAGCCTCTGACAGGATACCTACAGTGTTAGCTTAGCCTCTGACAGGATACCTACAGTGTTAGCTTAGCGTCTGACAGGATACCTACAGTGTTAGCTCAATAGGATACCTACAGTGTTAGCTTAGCGTCTGACAGGATACCTACAGTGTTAGCTTAGCGTCTGACAGGATACCTACAGTGTTAGCTTAGCGTCTGACAGGATACCTACAGTGTTAGCTTAGCGTCTGACAGGATACCTACAGTGTTAGCTTAGCGTCTGACAGGATACCTACAGTGTTAGCTTAGCATCTGACAGGATACCTACAGTGTTAGCTCAATAGGATACCTACAGTGTTAGCTCAATAGGATACCTACAGTGTTAGCTCAATAGGATACCTACAGTGTTAGCTCAATAGGATACCTACAGTGTTAGCTCAATAGGATACCTACAGTGTTAGCTCAATAGGATACCTACAGTGTTAGCTTAATAGGATACCTACAGTGTTAGCTCAATAGGATACCTACAGTGTTAGCTCAATAGGATACCTACAGTGTTAGCTTAATAGGATACCTACAGTGTTAGCTCAATAGGATACCTACAGTGTTAGCTCAATAGGATACCTACAGTGTTAGCTTAATAGGATACCTACAGTGTTAGCTTAATAGGATACCTACAGTGTTAGCTCAATAGGATACCTACAGTGTTAACTTAATAGGATACCTACAGTGTTAGCTCAATAGGATACCTACAGTGTTAGCTGAGCGTCCGGGGCCGCGCTGAGCCACGATGGCACCTGAGATGGCTTTAATCCAGCTGTGCATGTCCTCTGGACTGTCAGCCTGAAGAGGAAGACCAAGAGAGGAGAGAGATCACGTTAAAGATGAAGAGTTCTGTGTCACTAACCCAGAGACGTTTACAGAAACAGAGTTATGATGAAACATGTGATTCTTTAACACACTC